GAGTCCTGCGTTTGGGTTCCTTCTTCCTCGCCTCCACTCCACAACGCCTGACAGTACTGTAGTTAAACATAAGGTGCAATAATCCCTTACTACACAGATTAAGATAAAGATGTACCCTTGACCATTTGACTTGCCCAGTAATCTACCAATGATAATATGCAGGTATTGTCATTTTATAGAATTTTACTGGAAAAATGTTTATCAGTGGAACATAAAGAATACAAAATGTTGACAATAAAATGCATAACAGCACAAAAAATAATTAACTACCTAACTTTTCAATGCTACGCTCCATTGATACCTAATTTCTTAAGAAGGAAAAACAAAATCTACAAGGAAGCAACAACTCATTCTTTGGCATGTTTCAACTGATCCTTCTTCTTGCACTCACAAAAATATTAGATCAGTCTGAATGATGTCAGATTTAAAGGGTTCAGATTCTGAGATGGTTCCTGACAAAAAAAAAAAATCATAATATCATAGTTTTCTGAGTTTGAAAACAAATGAAACTTAGTCACATACCTGAAACAGCAATATAATTTCTCTTGTCCCCTGGGTCCTCCTTGCACACAGATAAATGTGTTTGAATAAAGAAGACAGTGAAAAAGGTAAAGATTTTAACCCTCCTTTTACTTATGTCTTTGAGAAAGTAAATCCAGGCCTTTGTCTATTGCCTGGAAAGCCAAGTGTCAGTTTAGTCCCAAACAGAGAAAGGAAGTTCAACTGAGGCCTCCACCAGGATAAAAGACAACAGGAACAACAGGTGAAGCGTTGTAGTCGCACCCACACCAGAAGTTTCAGGTTCATACAGGAAGACCAGGGATCCCCTGCACCTAACAGCTCAGAGCTTGTGTAAACAGCACAGTGATCTTTGGACTTGGATTTTGAGTAGGTGCAGGACAGGAAAGGCAGTAAAACAACAGCAAAGGTGAAGTGCTTCAGCTAATCAGAGGGAATGTTATCATAATCATGTATGTAACACAACCTGCGGTGGCTGCACACTGTTCAGACTGAACAGTTGTTCAGTTTTAGCTTCTTAAATTCAGTTAATTTTACCTCTTTGTGACCATAAGAAAACCCTAGTAGGCTGCTTTTAATATAAATTAAATATAATTATGTATTTAACTTCTTACTACCAAGTGTTTATTACAGCTTGAAATAGGTTGACTTCATGCCTGATATGTAGATCCAGGGGACCTCAACATGACCCTATTACTTAGTGTGGTTGCGTGTGTGCATGCTCTCTGCTTGGTAACAACAAACTGAATGAATGAAAGCACATTTGATATGAGAGGACATGCAAGTGTATTAGGTTTCTAAATGGTCAAAACACGCTGCAAGAAGTGAATCTTTACAAATGCACATGGATGTTAACAAAATGTTACATTTCTGTGGCGTGTTTGTGATTTAAGACAGTTTATTGTGATAAGACATCCTTGTAATGATTTCTTAGATTTCTTCCCCCAGGGTGGAATGAATGTACAACATATATCTTTATTAACTTAAAAAAGAAGAATTGGGTGCATGAGTTGAATTTTACTTAGGGTTTTCTCTAATCCACACAGGGCCAAAGTATACATAAAGGCTCAAGTATATACATACACCCCTGATAATCCCTGGGTAAGTATCCCTTATGAACTTGTATCTTGACTAGATGTTTTTGGTAACAACAAGCTTCTGAGAAAATTCTGGGTGAATTTTTGAGCATTCTTGTCAAAATTGGTTGGCTTCCTGGCATGGACTTGACTTGTAGTCATTCTCAACAGGAATAAGGTTGGAGTTTTGGGAAGACTAGTCCAGAAATATAATGCCATTAAACTTAGTTAAACATTAAATGTTAATGTGTGTTTTGGATCATCGTCCTGTAGGAACACCCAATTGTGTCCAAGTTTGTCACGCTCTCTCCTGAAAGAAACCTTTGGTGGTGACACATTTGAATAACCTGTATTTACAAATGTTTGAAGTGATAATCTTGCATTCTGCATTTCTTTAGAAAGACCTTGCCAACTTGTAAATCTACAGTTGTCATGCTTAGATCTTCATTGAGTTCCATGCACTTCCCCATTGTTCTGAGTTCCAATCAATCCACTGAGCAATGTCGAACAAATACTTTTTATGCTAGCAAAGTGAAACTATAATTTGTAGTCGAATACGACCAATAATGAGTCAATAGGTAAACAGGCCTGGACTTTGTGATGATGATGATGATGATGATGATGATGATGCAGGAGCAACACCAACACAGGGCTATCAGATAAGGCATGCTGCGCATGCTACCATGGAAATCAATCATTAAAAGCACCAAATTACTATGACATTCATGATGAGTGCACGAAAACCTCCGACCACAGCTGTACAACCCAAAGCCAAAACTATATCAAGAGATGGGTGTTATTTCTCTGAGTTCAGCATCAGTTCAAGAAAAAGGGCCAGTGTGCCCAGATGATTTAAACAAGTCAGATTACGCTTTATTTATTTATATCTTGCAATCCTATCGTCAAACAATAAAAGTGAATGCAACTGTGTTTGTGGTAATGAAAATAACAAAGAATTTGCATTCTTATAACCCACTGGGTGAAATAAAAAAGCTATCATATTGTAGTGGGAGAAAGAGCAGGCAAGAAGATTTATAAATACTTATTAAATATTTTATACAAAATTCATTATTTGGAATGTTTACATGGCAACAACAGTTTACAATAATGACAAAGATTACACAAAAAATGAAGCACAGTGTTTTACATACTGTACTTGATAACTACAGCAGTGATTTAGTGATAGCATAGGGGTTTAAAAATTTTGAAAACACAAAAAAAGTGATCAAAAATAAACAGTAGCAACTTGGCACAAGGAACGTGTAGCTTAGAGAATGGCTGTGAAACATTGACCCTCTTAAACCAATAACGTTAATTATTCACAGGGGTTAATACACTGTAACAAAGAGGAGCCTTGAATTGTGGTTGTGACCAGTTTCACAATGTGCACGCACTGAGGGTTTTATAATAGAGCAATAATCATTTTTCATTAAGTGTAACATTCACATTTTCCATCACATCACAACACTGACGCACATCACTTCAGTCCACACAACTGGAAAAAAAAAACATCGTAAACTAATAAGGGGGACCAAGGAAAGCTTTTATAACATCAGAAAGAATAAAGTAACACTAACTATAACACATTAAAAAGAAAACCTAACCCAGATAAATATACCCAATAAAATGATATGGAAAATCACTTGGAAAACTGGACAATGAACATTTATATGGGCAAAGAAGTAGCTAGTCATCATTGCTGTAAGCCAAAGGAAATACAAGGGCTTTAAAAAAAAAAGCAATTTAAAAAACAAAACAAAACAAAGCAAAAAAAGATTACTTTTCTTTATTTATTATCTTTTCATCAAAGCAAGGCCACTCCAAAGAGTAGAAGAAAACAGGACAGAATTATATATGTAAACTTTAAATATTTGTCCAGATATGCAGATTTTATTTTTTGGAAGAAAGTTCAACATCTACTATTTCTAAATGAATAATTCAACAAGACAATTATCTCTTAAATCAAGGACACACATGGTTACCTTGGTTATTAATTGCATGACAAGCACTTGCTTGTCACTTTTAGTTTGAGGGTGTGTATTTCAACTTGTTATGAAGCTGCAATTCAGGCCCAATTTAGGCTACATCAGCAGCTTAGGCCAACCACTGTGCAAATCCTTTGACACTGTCGTGGTAAATACGTCCATTTTTGGTGGTAAACAATAATTCCATCACAAGTTTTGAAACACAAAAATAAATACGTATAAAAAAATAAATAAAATGGTTACACCATCATGGTTATACTAGGCCACATGAGCTAAACAAATATGGCTCAAATAGCACTCTTGTTAAACTTCCACAGTGAATTTTCATGAGGATTTTAGTTAAACCTTATTGTTACTGATTTTTATTCCCTCAGGTTTTATATCTAGCTATTCCTTTTCCCGGGGAAATAGGGCTGGAAACTTCACATGGCAAGGCACACATTAAACCAATTAATCCTTCAAATTGATCTGTGAAATTAGTAAAAAATAAGGTTTATTACTTTAAGTACCTTCATTTCATAAAGTATGTCAGTACTTGACCAGGATTGTGTCCTAGCTAGTGCTCGTTCATTCATCAAACAAAACACTCCTTTATAAGATAAAACATAGTATTTTCACATTTACCCAAACCATCACCCAAGGAGATAGAGAATATGGTTTTTAAAAGCCTATTTTACTTCACACATTCACAGTTTGCAGAGTGTAAGGCATAAAACACTTGGCCACAGTTTGGGGGTGAGGTGGGGTTATTGCACAATCTCTGCACCAGGGAAGTGCAGAGATTTGTTTGGCCCTTCAACAGGACCTGGCATCATCTGTTCCCTTGAGACTATGACATGCTCACCATGCCGCTCTGGCTGATGACAAAGGAGCTACAAATAAGGTTAAATAGCTGAGTAAGTGGTCACTAACCTGTGAAACAGCTGTTGAGTGTGAAGCTTGAGTGAGCCAGCATTTATGTGGCTGTTTGCTGAAAAGCAAATAATATGTATGTTTGAGGAACACTGCAAAGTGACTGTTGGTCAAAAAACAAACAAACGAACAAAAAAAATAACAAGGTGAGAACATAACAGTGATGTAAGAGAAATGGCAACCCACTACCAAACAGTCAACAGCAGCTAAGACACATCACAGGTCCAAGAAAGAGTCCACATGTTCATCTACAATAAAAATCGGAGAAGATTTTCCATCCTTTTGTTTTCCCTCTTGTTCTCCAGATATCCTCATCTGCCTTCCTCTGCTGATCGAGTTTCTGACTTCAACCTCACAAATTCCTTGGCCACATCATCATTGGACCTTTGAGAGAGGATTCGCAAGGCAGTGAGGCCTGTGTCATCCATGTATATGCGCTGTCCAAGGGGGCACCAGCAGGCGCAGTTGCCTTTCTCCATGATGTCTCTTAATTGCAGCACGACCAAACCCACCACCCGGTCGGCACGACCAAAACAGTAATCTTTGACGCATGCTTGCAACTCATAGCACTCAAAGCCATCTTGGTTACCCAGAACACTGTGAAGAGAGAACAGAGCGTTAGGTGCTTTGAGTTCTCCAACAGCTTAATGGTGTATCTGTCAGCTTAAAGCTGCAAAAGACTTTCAGGTAGTGTCTCAACATCAATGACCCACTGACATGATTTTATATTTACTTTTCTAGTGGAAATCAATCAAAATACTGTTGTGCAAATCCCCGAATGGACATATACATTTTACATATAGATGTGAATTACATATGAGCTGCAGCCAAAATTTGTCTTTCCAAGTTTTTCTGTTTTGTTTATTTTTTCATAAACTGCAAAATTTGGAGGAAAAAAACCCCAAATGGACTTACAAATGGAAGGTTTCATTGAACTTGGGAGACCAGCTGTTGTTCTTGGACTTGGTCTGGAACTTCCGTTTCTTGTCGATGAGGTGAGGACCGATCATGGTGATCTCCACAAAGGGTCTGAACATGCCAGACGTCTGCCATTTTAAGTCACTGGCCCCCACAACTGTAGTAATAAATGCACAACATGATAATGTTGTCAGCTGAAGAGCAAAGGTTGCTTAAAATGCCACATTTTTTACATCACTTTAAAAAAAAAAAAAACCTCAGACTGACCTTTAACAGTAACTTTCCTCTCTCCACTCTTTGGATGAGTATAAAGCTCAACGTGGATACACACCTCTCCAATTGGTTTGTCCACACCTGATCCTAATTTTCATGAAAACACACACACGTTAAGTAAGTTTACATGTGACCATATATAGGCAAAATACAGAAAAGAAAAGAAAAGAAAACCAAGTAATAATGCAGGGTCAGGATGGAAGGGAAATGCAGATGCAGAGGATGGGTAAGGAATGACCTACCAACAGAATGACAAAACCAAATTGTGCAAAAGGAGACTGTGTGGGGAAGAAAGGGAGGTTGGCAGTTGATTTCAATGAAACCTACCCCTGCTGGGTTGTATTTTTTCATTGGGAGTTAACCTAATACCCTTTCCATTGTGCACTGGCACAGAGGCAGCACAGGAGATAAAGAGAAGACAGCAATGATACATCAACAAGTTCCAGCATCAACAACACATTAAAAAAAAAAAGAAAAGAAAAGAAAAAAAATGGAGCAATTGGTGAAAGATCTTTCTAATCATGAGCACATAGCACCCTCTGCTGGTTTATCTTTGGTAAGGCTTTCTTTCTGTACCTTTTTACTATTAGATACTTTTATCAGTTACCTTGTGCTTGTTGTGTGGTCACAAACGTCTTGATGAGTGTGTCTGTTGTCTGAGTATAGAGGGACAGAGCGTGGCGGAGTGAGGACAGCTCAGGACTCTTCTCTAGGAAGACCTTCTTCAGCCCATTCCCTCCTGCATGGAAATATTGCTGCAAAGAGACACAGGGTGAGTTAGGACATAAATATTTAGATGCACAACTGCAAGCATCCAATATTTTGTTTCATAATATTCTGACATCTTTTACAGCAAAATAAAAAGTTTAGTAATGAATTAATGAATAAATAGCAGATATAAATAGCAGATGAAGCTAATCTGAGACAGCATCCTAATGAAACCAAAACCCAGAGTACAAACTGACCTTAATTGTGTCCAGTGCCACATCCATGACAGCACACTGCCTGGGAGACAGGCTTTTAGCCTCCCCTGCCATGTGATCCTACATAGCGAAATGGTGATCAAAAAAGTGAAATAAAAATAGTTACACTCAGTCTTAGTAAGCACATTTGTGGACACTTCTTTAAATTAGGGTAACACCGAAGCCCATTTGAGGACACTTATTGTTCAGATATGTGGAGGCAATATGATACCTTGAGTTTGGAGAGCTGACCCAGTTCTTTTGCAGCTGAGAGAATCTGTGCTCCCTGGAATATAATTTTTTTTAAAAAAGAGAGTTATTTATGTATGAAAAAAGTTAATAATTTTGTAATATTAGAAATAGGCAAAGTCAATGCTGACTCACAAAGGTATCATTGCCCTGTGGCAGGACAATAGTCTTCTCCAGGCTGGTCATTACAATCCTCCATAGCTCCTTGAGCACACGCTTCAATACAGTCTTCTCACACACAGTAGCAAACAGTGTCAGTCTGCAAGAACACACACATAGATGTTGTAAACACTCTCACAAGTGCTTGTATTATTCCTTTTAAACATATAAACAATACTGAGAAGTCATTCATGAATGGAAAAAAATATGTCTTTTAGCAAAAATGCACTATACATAGCTTCACATTTGTACATTCGATTTATATTACATATTTAAAAAGGAGCAGGGAAAAAGTACACCCTTCTCCATTAGTCCTCAATTACTAGTCATCCAGCTTGTTGAAGTAAAATTCAGTAACAACAATACAAATATTTCTAATTACACAAAGGTATACACCACGAAGTGCAAAATATTATCATGTATATTTTTTTATAGTCCCTAACTTTGCATCCACGCATCAACAACAAGTATCTCTAGTTTTCGGAATGTTGTTTGCAAAATCTGAATAAATATAAGATAACAACTATTTATACATCATAAAGATCACATCCTTACACCTCTTGCTGAACTTTATCTTTGGACACTTTCCACACTTAAGCTGTTGCACAGTTTGACTCCATACATAGAAACACAAAAACTTGTCTGGGTAGTATAAACATTAACAGTTTTGCAGTTGCAAAAATGTCTTTTTTGCTCTGAAAAAACATTTTACCAAATTAATTAATCACCAAATTATCTCAGCAAAAAAAAAAAAAAAAAAGAAAAAAAAATTAGACTACAGGACAATTCAATGAATAAACAGAAAACACTGTAGTTTGGCTAAAACAACTACTCACTTTCCATCCAGGAAGTCCATGAGTGGCCGTAGCATGTTGTCAGAGTCAGCCTCCACCTGGTTTTTGTTGTTGGCATTGACCGGTCCTTTGATCTGGTACAGCAAAGATGCCATTTGTCGCATACACTCGTTGATGCGAGTCTGGAAACTGGAATTAAAATAAATAAATAAATACATTATCAATCAGCACAAATGTGTGTTAGCTTTCACAGTTAGGTGCATATATGTATACACACCAGTACAATGTACATACCTGTTCCCAAAGGTTCTACTTAGATCATCCAGCACATTGTTCAGCCTCACCTGCAGGTCGTTCAGCAAGTCACAAGCCTCTGTGTCCATCTAAACACAAGCAAAGACATCATGCCCAGGAGGGATAATGAATCATTTTGACTGAGGCTTTTGTGTTGCGCATATGGTATAAGAAGAGCTCTAAAATATTTTGGCAGAAAAAAGTTTTCAAAACTTTGAAAATAAAGCATATTCAACTGAATGTAGAATGTAGGTGCCAGGTTTTCCAGTGAATGAAATTCCTGGAACCATTAAACAGCAGTTCATATTAGGGATGCACCGATACCGGTATCGGCCTCGATACCACATTTTCTAAAGTACTCGTACTCGTTAAAAGTCCCCCGATACCGGGGACCGATACCACGGTCTGAGACCTGTCTATGTTTGAGCGGCATGTAAGGGGTTAATCACAGGCCCCGAGTGCCCGACCCCAGGCCCCGGCTGCAGCTCAGAGCTGAGAGAAGGGCAGGCGAGACAAGTCAGCCGTGTGGAACTATTTCAAAGTGAACGAAGACGCAAAAACAAAGGCGGACTGAAAATTGTGTTCAGCGAAATTGTCCAGAGGAGGCTCAAAAGGTAGCGCATTTAACACAAGCAATTTAATCAAGCACCTAAAATCCCAACACGACAACGAGTACAAAGAGTTTACCCACACTTATTTACCCACGCTTATTAGCACAGAGGAGCATAGCTGATGCTATAGCAGTGGGACGGAAAATAGTTGGGCATTTTAAACATTCCGCCTTAGCCTACTCCCGCCTCGAGGACATTCAGGGACAGCTCAACCAGCCAATGAAGAGACTGCAGCAGGACGTACAGACG